CAAAAAAATGTTAACCCCACTAATGAAAATGGAGAAAGTGATGAAAATAGCGTAGAGAATCATGAACAAGATGGATACGAAGTGTCAGAACAATCCTGCTCACAAAATCTTCAGGAAATCATAGAATTGAAAGCGACGCCGAGGATTTTCCAGAGTTCTGGGCCGTTTTTGAAGCCCTTGTTCACAAAAGTCATGAACTAGACGTAATGGAAAAGATTCTCCTGCTAAAAGAGAGCCTCAGAGGACGAGCTCAAGCAGCTATTAAGGGAATAAAATTGATTCCTGATAATTATAACTGGATTGTCGAAACCTTGCAAGAAAATTACTGCAACCAGCCTACTAATAGGTCACAGATCGTGCAAAAACTCTTCAATATGAAGTTCGCAAACGAATCAGCTGACAGCTGCTTGATGGTATTCGACGAAGACCGTATATTAGCAAACCATATGATCTCTGCAGGTTATGACATGAGAAAAACGTGCGACCCTATGCGGAGTGAAACTATCCCTTCCCAATTTCCTCAAGATATTATGAGGTCTGTTTTGATAGCTAGCCAAACGCAAGAAAGGCAAAGATGACCTAATGGCAATCTTAAAGAAGGAGATTACCGCTAAAGTTTATGTCGAGAGCAGACTGGGCCAGAAAAACAACAGCAAGGTCACGCAATCAAAAGGCAGACCAACATGCGCACGACTTAATAGTCGTGAAGGGTGCTTGTTTTGCCATAAACCCAATCATTTGTCCATGCAATGTAGGACAGTTTTGGATCAAATAGCCGCCGAAAGATACTTAAAGACGGCAATAGGTGTTGGAAGTGCTGCTCCGCGAACCACAAGCTTTGACTGTCAAAAGCAAGATTGTGCAGCATGCGGACAAAAGCACCACATCAGCCTATGTTTCAAGAAAGATAGTACATATGGCAACTATGGGAATGACCCCAGAACAAAAATTAATGCAACTGCCAATCATACAAGGTAGGAACTGGCCAAATAGAAACCAGAAGGAAAACAACACTCATCCAACATGTCCAAGAGCAGTTCCAAATAACATGCAAATGTGTTCGAAGGGGAAACCCCATTCAGATAGTCACTCTTACAG